CTTCACCAAGTTTCAAGTATTATTTTTGCTTAATGACTCTATTTCCTTCTGCATAGCAATCATCCATCTACTAGAATCACTGCAATTGACTACATTTGAATATATAGCAGGCTCATAAGTGGAATCAATGTCTTCAGCCACACTCAATGCATAAGTTACCAATTCTGCTTCCACGTACTTCTGTGGAGGTCTAATCTGGTTGTGAGGTCTATCCTTAGCTATAGAATACTGTGTTAAGACGGACGGGCCGGTCAGACCCGCGAAAATCGGCTCGGATTGACCCGGTACGGCGAGCCGACCCGTGACCCGAACGGGCGGTTCACCGGTCAAGGAAGTGTGACCCGCGGGCTTCGCGGGTTGCACCTTCACGGGCTACGGTTAACCCGTTGGCCCATGAATTTTTTTTTAAATTTGAAATATATAATTTTTGAACAAATATATAAAAGTAAATAATTGAAATGGGGATATACAAATATTGAAATGTATAATTTTTGAACAACTAAATTATAATTAAGACTTAAGTAGGTGCCAATCTAGTTGGGATGTACTTAAATTATAAATTATAATAAAACTAGGTGTCAACCTAGTTAGGATGTACTTATACTATAAATATTTGATAATAGTAATTAGAAATACATTTAGTTGTTATTTGTTTAAGTTAAATTTAACTTTACAAAATTATAAATAATTCATGTAACATTAAATTTGAATTCTATGTAAACATTTCTTGGTATAAATATGAATTTATCGTTTTATTCAATTCTTAATTTACATTTAACAAAAAAGATTTTTTTGCTATAAATATGAAAAATTCTATATTTTCATAATTTTATTTATACAATAATACAGGTCAAATCGAAACAAATCGCCACCCGCTCGACCCGTGACCCGCATGGGCTTGACCTGGATGGGCCAGCGGGTGGGCCTGGGTTGTAATCCAAAATTTGTGGGCTGACTCGGAACCGACCCGAAACCTGTAGCGGGTGGACTTTTTTTCATGCGGGCCGTTACCGGGCTCATATGTTGGCGGGCCGACCCGGCCCGACCACCCGGATTGACACCTCTATGTGGGCAAATTATGCAAGATATTACTGTCTGTCAACCTCGACTTGGACTAATCTGTAGTAGATTATTCTGCAACCTCTGATTGTTTCCCAGAATCAATTTCTAACTCCACTTGAGTTGAATGATTCTGCTCCTTAGTTTTACCAGAATCTCCAAGAGGTGAACCACGAACCATAGCAAGTTCATCAAATAATACATCCTTACTAACAACCACCTTTCTTGTCTCAGGATACCAAAATTTATACTTCTTCACACCTGATTTATACCTAATAAAGATGCACTTTCTTGACTTAGGCTCTAACTTTCAGTATCCATATGAGCGTAAGTAGGACACTCAAAACATTTTCAAATCAAAATAGCAAGAAGGTTTACTAGACCATACCTCTTCTGGTGTTTTGTTATCAATGGTAATTGAGGGTGAGCGATTAATTAGAAAACAAGCTGTAGTAGTGGCTTGAGCCTAAAAAATCTTAGACAACCCAGAATTTGAAAGCATACAACGGACCTTTTCCATTAAAGTTCTATTCATCCGTTCTCTTACACCATTCTATTAAGGAGTTTTAGGCACTGTCAAATGTCTCAAGATGCCTCAGCCCTGCAGAAACTATTGAATTCATCTGAACAAAACTCCAAACCGTATCTGTGCGTAGACGTTTCACCTGCTTTCCAGTCTACTTTTTTACCAATGTTTTTCACTCCTTGAAGGTTCCAAACATATCACTCTTCTGCTTCAAGAAGAATACCTTAATTTTCCTGGGGAAATCATCAATCACTGTCAACAAGTAATAATGACCTCCTTTTGATGGTATCCTGACTGGTCCCCAAAGATTTGAATTGATATATTCAAGTGTTCTCTTCGCATTATGTCTTCCTTTCGTGAATCTGACTCTTTTCTATTTCTCAAAGATAAAATGCTCATAAAAATTTATTTTGCTGGTCTTCTGTCCATTAAAAAATCTCATTCTACTCAGCTCTGTCATGCCATTCTCACTCATATGCCTGAGCTACATATGCCAAAGTTTTGTAACTTCATCATCCATTAAAGAAGAAGTAGAAACGGTTGCATCCCTAATTATTGTGGAACCATGCAAAATGTACAACTGTGTAGAGCTTTTATGTCCCTTCATGACAACAAGAGCACCCCGGCTCACCTTCAAAACTCCACCTTCACCAGTGTATCTATAACACTTTGAGTCAAGTATACTCAAAGATAGGAGATTCCGCTTCAGTTCTGGAACATGCCTTAAATATGTAAGTGTCCTGATCTCCCCATCGAACATTTTGATTTTGATTGTACCAACTTCGGCAATTTTGCAAGGCGCATTGTTTCTCATAATCACTGCATCTCTCGAAACTCCTTCATATATTGAAAATCAGTCCTTGTTGGGACACATATGAAAAATAAAAGCCGACTCTAGAACCCATTCTTCACTTAGTTTGGAATCCATGTTAGAAATCACAAGAAACTCTCCTTCATTTTGCCCATCTTCCACAATATCAGCCTCCGCTGTGTTAGCAGGTTGCTTCCCTTTCTCAGTAGCACCATCAGCTTTATTTTTGTATTTCAAGGCATATCAATCAGCTCTAATATGCCTTTTCTTCTTACAAAAGTGATATGTCTTCTCAGCATATCTAGATTTCAATCTTCTCATCATATTTCTGCCAAAATTCCTATTTTGACTTCTGTCATGCACAATCAAGCCTTAGGTATGATTCCCAGATCCTCCAACAAGATGCCTCACATTCTCCTTATATAGTAAAGTATCATAGAGCTCTTCCACGGTGAGAGTATCCCGACTATAGAGAATAGTATCTCTAAAAGTCACATATGATGGTGGCAGAGAACACAACATCAACGCTAAGTCCTCTTCGACGTACTTAACTTTCAATGTCTTCAAATCAGTCACGTTTCTTTGAACATAGTTAAGTATCATCCAATGACACACCTTCAAACATCTGGTGAGAATACAAGTGCTGTTTTTCAAGTGTAGCTTGTTGGTCAAGCTTTTTGTCATGCAAAGGTGCTCCAACGTCAACTACAACGCAGCGTCACTTCTCTCCTTTAGAACATCACAATGAATTTGATTTGAAAGATATAGATGAACTTGTAATTGAGCTTTCCGATCTCAACGCTGCTTTTTATCTTGCTTCTAGATAGCAGACATCCTATCAAAGTCAAGTAAGGCTTCCTCCAAATCCATTTGCAGTATAACCGCTCGCATTTTCACTTACCACAAGGTTAATCTTGTGTTTCTATCCAACAGCGGAATATCATATTTCATTGTAGCCATGCAGAACAATCAACATCGCTTTGAAACCACTTGTTATGGATTTTGGATCGAGTGATAATGACGATAATGAAAAAAAAAAGAAGAAAATAAACGCCAAGATTTAAGTGGAAACCCAATATGGGAAAACCACTGGCAAAGGAGAAAAATTCACTAAAATCAGTAGTAATTGTGTTTACAATATCAAGATATCAATTGAAATCTAAGCTCTCAAGATCTTGAATAATCATATGTGAAGATACAATGTGGAATATATATATAAATCTCTTTGTTGGAGTTTTCGACGAAGAAGTCATTTTCCAAGCCAGACTCTCAATCCTTGATGAAATGTGATCTTCATTAATTTGAATTCTTAAAACCTTAAACTCCTTAGATTTCTTTTATTCTACCAATCCAAATAACATGGAATTTGGATCGCACCACGACACATATTATAGAAGTATATTTTGAGTGTTGATCTTTGTTTGAGGTATCGAGATTTATTCTATGTTCTGTTCTTATTGGCATCTTTGGTGTTTAATTCATTTTAGGTGCATATACTTTCCAGTTTCTGGTTCGTTTAAATTAAGCTACTTTACAGATGTGCCTTCTTAAATGATTGACTTCGAATCTATAGAGTTACTCGTGTTTTTACCCAATTTGATCCTTTGATTTAAGGGAAATATCATTGTTAATTTTACAATTTTTAATTTGATTATTCGTTCTTTGAGGAGTCAAAGTATGTAGATCTTAGAGGTGATTACGAGGGAAAGGCCAGGGATGTTCCCTTAGAAAGCTTCAAAGATAAATTTTTTATTTCTATCTACAAGAAAAATTGATTATCTACAAGAAAAATTGATTCCGTCCTTCAAAAATTCTTAAAATAAATTATAACTTCTATCACTCCACTAACCATTAATTCTGGGTCAGACACATGAATAACTTCTTGATTTGCTTGGGGGATAGGCGGCTCTATCAATGATCAGTGTTTGTATGATCTCATTTGCGTACTGGCCCTTGCCCTTAATTTAGTTTAGATGTGGCTCGAATGCCTTTATGCTATAGGCTGTGTTAAGCATGCTTCTTTGATAGAAAACAAACTAAACTTATAAAGAGACTTGAATCTTTAGATCCCTCTAACAATTTNATCTTTAGATCCTTCTTAACAATTTTCCCCAAACTCGTTCAGGGAGCTACTTGACCCAAAGAGAGAGAGAGTGCTAACCCAAAGCATTTTCCTCTACTATTACAATTGAATTTCTGACTCTCCGCGTGAATGATAAATCATAGATCGAACCACCAAATTGAAAAAATTGGGTGCTATCATATAGCTTTGTATAGGAAATCGCCTAGGAAGGAAAGAAAGAAGCAAGAACCGGAGGCCTATTATAAAATTCAGTTCACAAACCTATCAAGAAAATGGACTGAATTTTCATGTTTATATCGTCTTTTCCGTGTTGAAGTTGATCTGTGCGGCATGTCATTGATTTCTTAAAATGTATCATCCATGAATTATAGTTTATGTAGCAAGTTTCTGTATTCAGTACTACAGAATTTAATTTAATTCCTTTGAGTTGCCTTTGAATCAAGGCAGAGAACTGTGTTACATCCTTCATGTAATTTGTGTTTGATAATTTCGGTCCAGGTTTTTGCGAATTTTCTTAAACCATGGATTGGGAACCTTCATGGGTTAGTCATTGCATTGATAACTTTGAAAATGATACTGTGGAGTTCGACCCATTCTTAGAGCTCAATGATGAAAGTAGTAAAGATGTTGCTGATGCAGTTTCTGTGGATTTATTATTACCCAATGACCTCTTGGAGCGAATATTAGCCTGTCTCCCAGTTGCTAGCATTTTTAGGGCTGGCTGTGTGTGTAAAAGATGGCGTGACATAGTATCTTCTGAAAGGTTCTTGCGGGATTTTTCTAGACTCTCGTCACAGAAGCCTTGGTACTTCATGTTCACTAGCTCAGATGAACCTGTTGGTTATGCATATGATCCTGTCCTTCGAAAATGGTATGGCATTGACCTTCCGTGCATTGAGACATCCAGTTGGTTTATTTCTTCGTCATGTGGGTTAGTTTGTTTCATGGACAGTGATAGCAGGAGCAGGCTGTATGTTTGTAACCCGATAACGAAATGCTTCAAGGGACTCGATGAGCCCCCGGGTCCGAAATTTTCCGATTACAGTGCATTGGCAATCTCGGTGAACAGATTATCTCACAGTTATAATGCCTTCATTGTAAAATCTAAGCAAGTTCCAGGTGACTTTTTTCAGTGGGATCTTTCAATCCATGTGTACAAGTCAGAAACAATGTCTTGGGTGACCACTTTGACGGAGGTTTTAACAGGATGGCGAGCTGGTGATGAGAGCGTGATTTGTGATGGGGTTTTGTACTTCCTGATTTACTCTACCGGGGGTGGTGGCACTGATAATCGCCACGGACTCATCATGTATAACCTCACAAGCCGAATGCCCCATAGTTTATTGATGAAAAGTTTCATCCCGGTGCCATGTTCTCTTACATGTGGTCGTCTGATGAACCTCAAGGAAAAGCTTATAATGGTTGGAGGAATTGGGAAACAGGATCGACCTGACATAATTAAGGGAATTGGGATTTGGAGTTTGAATGGGAAGGAGTGGCAAGAGATAGCCCGAATGCCTCATAAGTATTTTCAAGGTTTTGGGGAGTTTGATGATGTTTTTGCAAGCTGCGGTACAGATGATCTCATATACATCCAGAGCTATGGAGCACCTGCTCTTCTTGTTTATGACGTTAGCCAGAGGCAATGGAAGTGGTCGCAGAAATGCCCCGTGTCAAAGAGGTTCCCTCTTCAACTTTTTACCGGTTTTTGCTTTGAACCAAGGCCGAAAATTGCTCCATAGTGCCATCTGCTCCATTTATATGCAGTTCTGATCATCTATTACGGAGAAAAGGGAAAGAATTGACTTTTAGGATTCCCAAGAAATTCTTCGATCGAGGAATACCCATAGCATGTGGGAAATCGGCCATCTTTGATATGTTGCCACTGGTTTGCAGTTTTTGCGTTTCGTATTTATGTTTTCTGCATCTACTATTTGCTCAATTACAATGGTCTTTATCTTGCTAAGGAAGCAACAGCTGGTGAGGCTGCTAAAATATATAACAAATATTCGTTACATTAGAAAATACAATGCTAGTTGATAAAACAAAAAAAAAGAGAATTTCAGTATTTCTGCTCTTTTTCAGTTTGTCTCCGACTGTATTTTTCATGCTTTCGAGTATTTGATAGTTCCTGCTTCAACATTTTTTCGGTATTTCATTTGCTCATTGAAAATTACTGAGTTTTTGATCCGTTTTGCACAACAGTTCTTGAAAAATAACTAGTTTTTCGACTTTTCAATGTCAATTTGGTTTTGTTATGAAATATTCAAGATGAAGACACTGATTTCCTTCAGTATTTCTGTAGCTCCTTTTTATTCTCCTAAACCATCTGTTCTTAGGTGGGTGAGACTTGATTGGCTTTGGTTTTTACTGTAAGTGACTGGGTCCTATTTAGAGTGCTTTTTTTTTTTGTATGAAAATGTATTTTATAATACTGTTTTTTGGAGAATGTGTAGTTAAAAAATAAAGAAAATAAAATTATTTTATGAGAAAATGTGGGTGGGAATTTTGTTCTGAAAAAATAAAGGCCAAACATAGGCTTAGGATCATAGATGGTTAAATATAGTACAGAATAGGTTGGTGGTGTAGGTTTGAAGCACACCACCATTAACTGGCTTGCTGGTATTGTATGTGTTAGTAAGTTGTATCTGACTTGCAATTGCTCAGTGTATCTTGCTTCTTGAGTAAGAGCACTATTGGCCTCAATTTCTACATGGATGACGTGGTCAATAGATTCCGGTTCTACATTTCTACTCACGTCCATACGTATAACTCTTGTACAGTTGAACAAATTATTAGAAGCACGTAGCTTTCTTCGGAGGTGGAGGATGTTGTCTAGAGTATTTCAACGGTCAAGTCAAATCAATATGTATAGATATATTTAGGTGTGAGATGGACGAAAGACGTGAGCCACGGGCACCGGAGGTTTATGAGAGAATAATGAGAGCAATATTATTATTGGGCGGATCACATTGGTACTTAGTATGAGTTTTTATAGTATAAGAGGTGTAATTGTTACCATTAGATGAAAAAACACGTGACTTTATTTTGACGATCGAGATGTCTTGTCATATGCATCAGTCATCTAGTCCCAAGTTCAAGGACATTAAATGATTCTGAAAAGTATCTATCATACAGCTTAGGTATGACATATGAATAGGTGGACTGACAAGTTAACTTGATAAGATGTCTGTTGCAAAAAGTTCACATCAATCAATCATAAAAGATATCGTACAAAGGATCTTCTAGGAAATGTGCCTTCATGTGTATGAAGTCTCTTAGCTTTGGATTGTTGTTGCAACAGGTAGTATCGACTCATCTCGATCATGGAGGGTTCGACCTGTATATGGAGGTTCGACGAATGTGCACCATTTCAACTACCTAAGGGCTCGAATAGGCTAGCTAGAATAGTGAAGTAGAGTGCTAGCGTGAGTTTGCTTGTTAAATGGCTCTTACGTGGTCGATTCTTGAAACCTTGTTGTATGAGGCGTAACAATCACAACTTTCTATAACAGGAGTTGAATGCATACGTGTCTGATTTCTACGTTCCTTTCTTTACCAAGCGATGGCTCTAACAGATAACATATTCTTAGTTTGATGTCGAACATTAAATATATATATATCTTCTTTTTGATTGTTAAGTCTTTTTGTTTAGTAGATTTTTTGATAGAAGTTATTGAAATATATGATTCAAAATATGATCAAAGTTGTTGGTTCATAAAATGTGTTATTGAAAATAAATTTTGAGAAAAAATGATTTTAAGTAATGAGGGCAAAATATGAACTTAATATATATATACATATATGTATATATGTATGTCAAAGGGAAAAAAAAAGAAAAAAAAATGAAAGAAAGAAAGGGGCCTTGTGCTTCTTCTAAGTTACGATTCTTGTGTCTACTCTCTTAAGAATGATTTTTGTGTTGTATTGGAACGATTAAATTAATTAAAAATAATGTTTGAAGTTAGTGCAAATAGTTACAAAGTTTTGCACGAAATAATCACATGAAAGAGAAAAATTATAATAATTGATTTTTTTTTTCTTTTCGTATTTTATTTTTTAATTTTTTCTATGTATTTTTTATGTCATCATTATGTATACATTATATACACTATTATGTGCATATAGTATTACTTTAATTTTAATGAAACGAGGCAATTCACTACATTTATGTTTTGCTCGTAATTAAATCATTAAAAGTTAATAAAAATTATGAGTTTCACAAATATGAAAATGAGTTTAGAAAAAATAAATTTTTAATATTTGGGGCCAAACACATAAGTTAAGTTTTTTTAAAAATGTAATTTTTAATTATTTAGAAGTAAAATAATATATGAACAATGCTAGACTTACAGAAAAAAATTTGTCAGAACATTGTCAGATACACACATACATGTGGCCCGCATGTTTTTCTTGCAATATTTTACACACATGGGGACCCACCCCATGTGAGTATCTGGTAGCTTTATGGTAAAAAGAGTTATGTACATATGCATTTTTCCATTACATATATATAAAGTATTTATTTCTTGTGGTGCTGTTATAAGCTTAGCCAAACACGGTGTTAAAGGAAATTCCTCTTACCTTAAAAGTTCAACGCTAAGGCAAAAGTCAAAACCCATGAAAGGAACTCAAAATCTGTATTAATTCTGAAATCATCAATAAAGAGAGCCGTACGATCTAGGGTTTCTACGAAATGCCGAAGAACAAGGGTAAGGGAGGGAAGAATCGGAAGAGGGGAAAGAACGAGGCGGATGACGAGAAGCGTGAACTCGTATTCAAAGAGGATGGCCAGGAGTACGCACAGGTGCTTCGTATGCTCGGAAATGGCCGCTGCGAAGCCACATGTATAGACGGCACGAAGCGCCTCTGCCATATCCGTGGAAAGATGCATAAAAAAGTCTGGATCGCTGCTGGAGATATTATCCTTGTCGGACTGCGTGATTACCAAGTATAAGTCTTTCCTTTTTATCCTTTTGAGATTTTTGGTTTATTTCAGTTTTTTTGTGTTTCTGTTGATACGTTTTTGTCCTATTATATGTATTAATTACCAAAAAATTATTGATTGTTAGAAGATATACGCACAAAATTTATTGATTGTTTTTCTATTTTTTTTTTATTTTGGGATTTTGGCTTATTTTCAGCTTTTGATTAATCATGTTTCTATGAATTCATTTTTCCCCTAGTATGTGGATTAATTAACGATTTTACTTATCGATAGATGACATTTTTTTGTATGTGCTGTCAGATTTTTTCCATTTCAATGTCGCCTCTTAGTTCTATCCATTTTTGCAGTGTAGAATGGTGGTTTTATATTTTTAAATCAAGCAGGTCGTAATGAATCAATATATATCAACTGGCAGGGGCTCATTCCAAACTCTCCACCTAAATATTAATATCTTCTTTGATGCTAATAGGATGATAAGGCTGATGTAATCCTCAAGTACATGCCAGATGAAGCAAGATTATTGAAGGCTTATGGTGAACTGCCGGAGAGCACGAGGCTCAATGAGGGTATTGCTGGTGGTCTTGATGAGGAGGATGATGGTGCGGGAGACGATTACATCGAATTCGAGGATGAGGACATTGACAAAATCTAGAGACTTTGTGAAACTTGGTACATTGTTTGTAGAAGTCTGGTCAGTTACAAAATGGTACACTAGCATTATTGTATGACCATTTATGTTGTACGAATGTGGATGAAATAATAGGAAACTACCTTTATGTTTCTTTATCCCCATGAAAAAGAAGTTCTGTCTTCAATTTAGTGTTTCTGTATTAATTTCTTGCAAGATTTTGTTGCTTATCGTATTGCAATATTGCATCTTGCCCCAGCTGACATTAGCTATACATGGTGACCTGACCTTAGTAAAACATGAAATGTACCTGCTATACCTCAGACTATCGATAATTAATTTGAAGTGTACTGTATACTTATGCATGCTGTAGTAACTGTTGATGGTGATTGAGGGTCAAGTGCCACCATAGTGTCAACAAAACTAGAGTTTTCCGCAGTTTTTGTGCTTGCTTGTTGCATTTGTAGTTCATTAAAATGCACTTTATAAAGTGGATCTCAGTTGTAATAACATAACATAACATAATCAATGCAGTTATGTGATCTATTGACATGTCTAATTGTTTTAGCAGCTTCTTTCTCCTTTTAAATTTCATATTAACATAGATCGAGTTCTGCAGAATTCTATATAATAAGCTTTAATAATTTCAACTCAAAGTATAAACAATTTATTGTATGTGTAACTGAATCTAAAATGAGCAGTTAAGACATTAGTAAATCGATCTTGAGCATTTGGATAAAACTTCAATTTGTCGTGTATGCATATGAATATAGGATGAGCAGTTGAGAAACTGAAAAGCTCGATCTTGAGCGTTTATTGGTTAATCCCATTCGGATTCATCTGTGTTTTATTTTTGTTTATTACACTAGACAAACATGTCAAGTAAATGGGTGAATATCACAGTAGTTGTAAAGTGAAAAAGCAGGATGAGAATAAGAGCCATTGAGAATGGCATATGCCACAAGCTTGTTAGCAGCTTCTGTGGCATGGATTCCATCCCAGCTTACGTAATTGTGTGGATCACTGCAAGCTGTGGCATTGAGCGTGTGACCATCGATCACTTTGCTGTTTCCACAGTAAACTTGAGGGTTGAAATTGTAGGCACCACCTCCTTCTCCACAGCATGCTTTGGTTCCATATGTCATTCCTGCATAATGACCCAAGTGTTAGGGACTTAGTAACCTAATATCATCTCTTTGGTCATTATACACCCAGATTAGAAAGTGAAAAACTGGGATGCACGGATACATCTCCCAGGGGTGGAGTGTAATGTCCGACATGTATTGGACACAGACACATCATGTGGTATAATCTGATCTTTCATGTCCAGTATTATGTACTAAACGTGTCTAAAAGGATTAAAGAATCATACCATGAGAAGTGGGGTGTTGGAATAGCTTCAGCATCACAGTGTGAATGTCAACATAGATAACTTCAGCTTTTGGGAGATCTTTTCTGGTTTTTTTCATAGCTTCTTTCAGCATACTGTTGTATTCTACAACAGCATTGTTGTAAGAAATCATGCACCCAAATGAGTCAATATCAGAAGCCCCATGAGGGAGCTCTACAAGAAATGCAGGGTAGCAACCTATTGGTGCAAGATTCAGAACCAAAAATGTTCTCCCTCCTAATGCATAAATCTCCTGAAAAATCCATCAGTGAATAACATTATAGACTGTTTAAAGTATAGGGAAAATGTTCGGGAAGTTAGCATTGCCGACAGATTTTTCCCAGTATTTGAGCTGAAAACCTTAAATTTTTGTAGCATTTTGATTTGGTTAGGAACTCAAGAGCGCGAGCAAAACATTTAACTCAGACTTGGTGTAAATGAAATTTACGATTACCTTGATGGTGCTAGCGATTTGGGAAATTACTTGAGGCAGATACTTCTTCACTCCCCTTATACCAATGGATGCCAAGTTTCCAGTGAAGTCATTTTGGCCTATATAGAATGTGTAGAGGGATTTTCTGAAAATGTCTGGTGGAGGAAGGTTGGTTTTTCCTGCCCAACAAAATTCATCAAATTACCAATTGATTTGAACATTCATAAAAAACACTAGAAAGTTTGTGTTTGTAACATGTGAATGATCCGTGTATTCGACCTTTATAGTGCTCGTCCCAAGATATTGTTCTCTAATAACTAGAAAAGTAAATGTTTGGAATGAAGTGTCGTGAGTTCAATGGGATTGAAGATAACTATATTTCTAGTAGCGGACTCTTTAAATAAAAATGATGGCTTGAGTAGAGAAAAACAAAGCCTACAGTGTTCGGGTTTCTGGTCTTCTCCTTTTTCCCACAACCCTTTTTGGGTAAGTTCAAAATTCGAAACTCATAATAAGAATTAGTGCAAATTTGTATACCTGAATAGTGAAGCTCATCGACTTTGACTTTAAAATGCTTCATTTGGTTAAGCTGGATGGCCAATGAAAATGGGCTAACCCCAGTAACAAATAAGGACGTGTTTGGCAGGAGCACTGTGGATGCCAATGTTGCAAAATTTGCCCCATGTCTGTAATCCGATCCAATTGATTGCAGATATGGGCTCACAAATGGCTGCCCCAGACCTTGAGCTGCATTCACACATGTAAATCTTAGCACATTGGCATCATTGACATGTTTGATAAGTCATATGGAACGGGAACATGATTTGAGAAGATTAAATAAGAGAAACACGTCAATATTAGAGCATTAAGGACGTGTTTGGTGTGCTGAATGGATATGATTAAAAAGAATTAAAGAAAATAAATAAACGGCAAAATTTATCAGCTGTCACGTGACATGCCGAATGTACCACAAAAGAATTTGCTGGTCCATAATCTTGCAAATTAATAGCCATAATGAATAGATATGAGAAATAAATGACAAATTTAATGTGTATGGTCTAATCCTGAAGTTTTAAATATACAATAAGAAATTTTGCTAATCCATTAATCTAGAAAACAAATCTTACAAGAATCGGATTATATTCACTCTTCGACTAGAAGAAGTTGCGAACATGTCTGAATTCGTCCTTTCGTTCAACATCGTTTAATCCTTGGACCATTTTTTTTTTCGAGTTTGTGAGGATTTTTAGAAGCCTCAAATTTCATTTTTTTAAGATTTCTGAAAGTCCTTTGGGGGTGGGGGTGGCCCGTTGCAAGAATAGTGTAAGAGTGAGATATTGGGGTGATGAATTATTGACAGTTTAAAAAGATTCTCAAAACGGGTAGTGTGTGGACAAGTGTGGACAAGAAATTGGACACTAGAAACCCACTTTCAGCTAAATATTTTGTCTTTATAACACAGACTGTCAGTATCAGTTAACCACCAAACCTACATATAGCACTACCTTTGGGTGATAGTGGTGGTCACGGACCAACTTGAGTTGTTGTAATCGAGGCATGTTTAGTACGTTGTATTTGATTGATTTTTTAAGAAAAGTCGTAATGAAAGTACTTTCGAGTTTTCGAACTAGAACAAACATAAATTCTTTAATTTTTGAATTTTACTCATAATTCATCAACTCCTGTCTCGCTTAGCTGTAGCAACTTAGATGGCAACCTGAGTACCATCAACAGCCCTTGGTGGTTCCCCTGAACCTTCAAATCCCACGAGTGATTCAAAAGTTGAATTACACTTGAGTGTGAATCATAAATCACAGTTTAACATGAATCTACTAAATTCTAAAATCTTAATGGTCATTCTCTTTGTATTTCAATTTTGTATTTTGAGTTTTGAATTCATTTTGGATTTTGTGTTTTGAGCGTCCATTTTGAGATTGTTGAAAATGTGTTCTTTTTTGCTTTTTGAAAAATTGTTTTGAAAACACTCAAAACACGTTTTGAAAATTATGGCTTGATTATAATTGAAAACACATAAAACTTGTTGTTTTGGGTTTTCTTTGTAAATTTTTAACTTGTCTTCGAAAATATGAAAGAGAACGCATTTTCACTATTTTGAAAAATCGAACACAGAAAATGGTTTAAAAATGGTAAAGAGAACAGATTCTTAGTTTTTGCCCATAACTCATCAACTTCCATCTTGAGTCAGGCATGCTTCCCTCAGCAGCCCAGATCCCATGAGTGAATTGAAAGTCAGATTTATACGACAAGAAATCCATCATAATCACATCTTTGAACACGAAAACTTAAAGAAAATTGTTGGGGAGAATTACCTAAGAAATCAATGATGACTCTTCCATCAGTTGCTCTTCCAGAAGGCCTTTTGAAGTAGGTCATGCCAAAGGGAAGCCTCTCTGTAGGGAAAGCAGCCCAAAAGCCTCCTGTATCAGTATTTGAGTCTCCAAAGTTGAAAATAGCTTCAAAAGGACATTTTTTTGCATCACTCATAGGCCCTAAAAGTGCCATTAACACAATGCAAATCATCAAACATGGCTTTGATGGTATGCAGAATTTACTCATTCTTCACTGTTTTTATGCGGCTTGAATTGCACTATTGCAGTAAGCCAAAGAGTGTGTGTTTTCTGTAGGTTGTGTTTGGACTTATATAGCAGAAGGGATCCAAGATTATTTTCCTGAGTAACAGACAAGTGTCGGATTAATCTCGTAATATGAGACACGTCAACAACCAAACAGCGAACAACTCAAGAGTTTAATAGATTTCTTAAGATCAATGGATTCTCTATGGACTTGAATATCATTTTATTTAACAAATTTTTTTTTATAGATTTTAATGGATTTGTCGGATAGTAAAGTATTTTTACTATTACGATATAACTTTTCCAGAGAAGTCTGGAAATAAAAATTCAAACTTTTTAATTAGAAAATAAAATTCAAAACTTTGTTATTTAAAATAAAATTAAAATCTATAAAATCGAGCGAGTATATTAACAAATTAAAAATCTATGTTCAATTTGAAAATAAATTCATTTTCATTAATTTGTTGAAAATTACATATACGATATACACCAAATATTTTATGATTAAAGATACGCTTAGTTGGTGAATAGAGTTTCAAAAATATAATGGATCAATTCATTTTTCATTCTTCGATAGGTAGATTAAAAACTCGATTCAAATTTCAACATGAACGAGAACTCGATTCTTTTTCTCCCACTTGGAATTTCAGATCGATAATTTAAAATGAGATATTTTATTACTATTTATTTTTAAATTTCTTATTAAATTTAATTAATTTCTTTTATTTGTGTCAAATGTACAAAATATTTTACTTTCTAATCAAAAGGAACATGTAAAAACTTATAAAGAGTTTGGTATTTATATTTATGAGATCGAAATCACTAAAATCAATTAAAATATTTCTTGGAATTCTTAAAAATGTACAAGTTATTAGAGATTTTAATTGATTTCAATAAATCTTAGTTGCGATGCATATAATTTTATAAATATTTTGTTTTAAAAAATTGATTTCAGGATACCTATATTTGTGACGACTACACATTTTAAATTTTGAGTGAAGAATACTGATATTTATTAAGATTCTTAAAATCCTTTAAAATTGACTCGAGGACACTAAAAAGTCGAGTTAATTAAATGATTAATCATCTACATTACATTTGGTTACTACTAGCACACTTGAAAATAAAATGTATACTGATTGCTCACTCACTTTTACGTAATGTTATCCATCCTCATCTATCTAAATTATGTTCATCCATGTTGCAAAAAAAAAAAAAACCATACCTAGTGGATGGAGAATTACAGAGTGTATGCAAAACCATCTCAAGCATAAGGCTGCTTATGTGGTCATCTAAGATTCTGCATTATGACAATGTCAACCAAAATCACGAAAATGATATAAATAGATCGGACAATAAAATTGAAAATAAGTCTTGTAGAAGGAAAAAAAATGAGGAAAATTAGAGTGAGCAATGTAACTCGCAAAAATCGATCCAAAAATCAAGAAAATTATATAAACAAATTGAATGGTTAAAAAACGAAATTGAGATGGATGATGAACGTGGTGTGAATATGACTGAGCAACCTATAGTTTTTTGTAAGAATATGTACTCCAATCAACCAAGAAATCCGGGCTCAATTATTTCAATCGACCACCACAATTAACAAACTCAATCCCAACCGAACCTCCCAACACCGGCTGCTCACGGGTTGCCCACGAAGGGTAGGGTGTGTAGAGTATGGTAGTCTCAATGACTAGCCACAAAGGCTAGAGGAGAAGGAGAAGACAAGGCACAGTAAAGCACACAGCAAAACATAGAAGCACGAAGTCAAGGAGGGATGCTGCCTTTCTCTCTCAAACACGGCTACCACACTTTTTCACACACCCTCGCTACAATAATGGAGCAAACCATATAAAGGTAGGAATTAGGTATGGACTTTTAGGTTAGAAGGAATAAGGCCCAATAGAAAATATGTAAATGGGCTATCAACCGAAAAACCCTCCAAGGTAATGAGTCTGACCATGAGCAGTACTAATTAAATTAGGCTACTTCAAATGGTCCAAATAGGTTGTAGGATTGGTCCGAACAATTGTGGTGTCGATATTGTAGGATCGGTCTGAACAATTGTGGTATAGATATTTCACTTCACCCATCGATCGAAGTCTATAAAGTATAATCCAAACAAAATCGGTTTAATATCATTGTCTAGGATTTATTGGGTATCAAAACTCAACAAATCTCTACCTTGATACCCAATCAATCTGCAAGCAAACAAAACACAAAGTTTATACTTGTATAATCAAGGTAATCAATAAAATTGGAATCACAGACCTTACCCCATGTTTCGAACCTAAAACACATACCATACATGTTCCATATACTCACAAGGGCTAATGTCAAGAACGCCCAAGTAGAAGCAAATAATCAAAGTAATCAATCAAGAGCAAATAAACATACGATAGAGATATCATATATAGGATAACACATAGATCTTTCAAAAAAAATATTTTCACATGAAATGACATATTAACATCAAGTTAATTAACAGGCCAACACATATACAACAAATAAATAAATGACCCCCACAAAGAAGATCTCACCATACTTATCCTATCTCATTCCGTGTTGCTCACACTTCGAGAACACACATCTCACCTTATCGCCCACCATGCTCACTAGACTAATCACTCAACCCATGTCTAGCTGATAAGCCTCTATAAATTCTAAGTTCTCGAGATAATCCTTTATCACCAAATCACTTCTCCCAACCTACGTGGATAATGGGTCTCCACCTAACAGAAGTGATCGAAGTGTCTCTTTCACACTCCACCTTATCAGGGTCTCTTTACAGATAAATGATTCCAACATTTAATCACCTTTTCACTCGTAAACCAAATGTCACTCACTACGTCCCTGGTACATGCCATCAATGTACCCCTAGGTATCTATACTTCACCTTACCAAAAGACATAAAACGCACTACTTATACATCCCAACCCACTATGCATGGAAACAATTACACCAAGTAATTAAATTGCTCTCATTCATGCAAATGCACATATCAAATACATTGAAATGCTCATATAACCATGCAATCGAATTAAGCAATCACATATATGCAGAAATGATTACATATGGATGCATATGCAGTTAACTAGGTTTACATTCAATAAGCTTCATTAGGGTCATCACTCGACCTTAATGCCAAATTCGTCTCGCCTCTCAACTTACCATTCTGCTTATCCTTTTTCTTCTTAGGACAGTCCCTAATAAAGTGTCCATCTTACCACAACTGTAACAGCGTCTACCGTTAGACTTGTCACATCCCTTGCTCTTGTTCTTGCCACCCTCATCACTCGAGTCACTACTCGAATCACCATTGTCTTGAGCTCTACCCAAACTCATCTACTTAAACTTCATTCTACTTCTCATCATATGCAACTCACCACTTCTCTTATCTTCTTTTTCAACTTTAATCTCCATCTTCTTACTATTAAGGGAATCTATGACAATCTCAAGTATTAGGCTGTCTCGACCATACTTAATTACATTCTTAACCTCTCTATATGAATCAGACATAGAATTTAGCAAAATGATTACCTTATAAGTTTCAGACACATTTTCATCACAATTAACGATATCTTGAACCAATTTGTTAAAAACATCCAAATTAAATTGTCATCAAGATCTTTTGAATGATCCATTTTAAAGCTAAAAAATTTTTCAAGCAAGTAAAACTTATTAGGAGTAGATTTAAACAAATATAAGTCTTTCAACTTTTGCCAAAGTTCTTTGGTAAAGCCAAGTTTTCCAACTTTTTTCAAAACGGTGTTGGATAGATGTAAAATAATTGAAGTGTAAGTAAGTTCATCATATTCTTTTTTTTTTTTTTTTGTATTTCTATTAAATCTGTAGGAAATTTGTCATCTATGGCATTTGAAACTTTTTGTTGAGTCAAAATCCCTTTCATCTTTTGTTGCCCAATTGAAAAGTCTCATTTTCCATTGAAAATTTCAATTTTGAAATGTGAAGATATTTTAAAAAACAGAACAACAAAAAATGTATAAATAGATCACACAGAGTAATCCTAAGGCAACAATATATACCATTCTAGATTCTCAGGGTTTCGTAAAATTCACGATTTTAGATCAAGAGAATGTTCGAATGGGTCAAGTTTAGGTGTTCTAATGGAATAGCCAACGCAACACGAAGGTATATCAACAAAAAAATTCAAAATTCTCACGCAATTAAACACAGAATCAAATATCAACTTGCAGTTAAAACCAACATTTCGAATAGAGCAATTAATTCCCAAATTTTTAGCACAAACAATGGTTACCCCTTCATGGTAAGCCCAATCCTAACGTCACCCTACACGATGACGTGCTAATGCTGAATTTAAACGGGATAAGTCAATTTACCAGTGCAGACCTATCTAAGTTCGTAAATTACAAGAGATGCAAATTTATCATTTTAGGGCTACCACTATTCGCCCTAAAGTCTCCAACAATTGCACTAACCAACTGAATGAAAATCGTCCAGATTTCACTTTATAACTTGAAACACAAAACTAACAACACAAATGTTAGAAATGTCAAAATAAAAATTCTGTCTGAAGGGAACATCGTCGGAAACTGCCCCATGCGCCACTGCCTGCCACCACGCGCTGGACCTTTTGCACCTCCTCCACCTACATGTCCCAATTCCGATCTCCGTTTCACCAAAAGCCGCTAGATTGGCCAGAAAACTCAGTTGCAGGTGCCTAGTTTTTCAACAGCTTTTTCCTGCCGATTTTCGGATCTGTTTTCCACGAAAATCACCTCCAAACTTTGCTCTAATACCAATTGTAAGAATATGTACTCTAATCAACCAAGAAATCCTAGCTCAATTACTTCAATCGACCACCACAATTAACAAACCCAATCCCAACCGAACCTCCCAACACCGGCTGCTCACAGGTTGCCTACAAAGGGAAGGGTGTGGAGAGTATAGTAGCCTCAATGATTAGCATAAAGGCTAGAGGAAAAGGAGAAGACAAGGCACAGTAAAGCACACAGCAAAATCGAGAAGCACGAAGCCAAGGAGGGATGCTGCCTTTCTCTCTCAAACACGGCTACCACACTTTTTCACACACATTCACTACAGTTGATAAGTGTATTTTATACACTTAACAGTACCATTAAACTAGAGCAAGTATTGTTATTTTAAATGATTTGTGGCTAAATGTCGTATATATTTTGTTTGTTAGGTGCATCTCGATGAAAAACAATGAAATGGAAGAAATGGAGCAAAAAATTGGCTAAAGTAGACATAATCCAAAGTTTAGGGACTAAATCGCAAAATGATAATAGATGATTTAGACCTAGTATCGATGATTAGAGGGATGTTGGAGCAAATTAGATGTTGTTGGAAGTGGAGGATCAAAAAAATACGAAGAAAGAACCAAAGTAACCAAGGAATGAGAATTCGGGGACCAAAGTGCAACAAATGGAAAATTCTATAATGTCGCGCGCGCACAGCCAAATTCTCTCGCGTGCACAAAGGATTATCCGGTGCGTGCGAGCAGACTATTTCTGGGCCTGAACGGCCCAAATTCCTGGTTTACCCAAATCTTATAAAAACCAAATTTAACATATTCTCTTGAGAGGAGAACGGTCTTAACTAGAGAGAACACATCAAAATCCTATTTTTCACCACAAAGACGAGACTAGCACAAGATTCAAAGGCAATTAACACAAGAAATTGAAGGTTCAAAGCCGGGTTGACGATTTAAGAAGAACAAATTGGTTTTCCACTTTCAATTCTTTGTTTTCCATTCCTGGTGATGTTTTTCTATATCTTTTTGTGTAATTTACTTAACAATACGTTAGGCTAAGTATTTTCATGTATTGGATGAAGATGAAACATGTTATTATTTATTTTCAATTCAAGACAAGTAGTTAATTAATTTCTTATTTTTCTTGATTAACTTTGCATGCATAATTTTATTATTTGATTGCTTGATCACCTATTAAATATATAGTTGCTTTGTTGTAGTGCTGGGAGGCTCACAAGAGGTATCAAACATTGCTTGATTAACATGTGTGCGATAGATATTAGGAATAATATTTATCACGTGTGCAATTTATGAGATAATCTAAACTCTAATGCATTCTATTCATTCGAATTCGGAATAGGAATACATTTGGGTCGTAATTAGAATAGATTTAATTTGTCTTGGAAAAGAGAATTAATTACTATAGATTTATCAATTGTCAAGAATGTATGAATGATACTAGCTACATAGTTGAGAATTGAAATAGGTACTAATAGGTGGATTCGTAATCTAATACATTCATTTCGTATAAATACAAAGCTCGAATTTTACAAGCTTTCATAGAATAATTTAGAATAATTATCAACCACAATTCTATTTTGTTTGCTCACTTTGAATCTGAATAAAGACTAATACTCCTGATTGAAATTTATTCCCTGTGGGACGACAACTCTTAACTCATCACGTATTACTTGTCAACGATCCCGTACACTTGCGGGTTTTGCATGAACAACAGTAATGGAGCAAACCATATAAAGGTAGGAATTAGGTATGGGCTTTTAGGTTAGAAGGAATAAGGCCCAATAGGAAATATGTAAATGGGCTATCAGCTGAAAAGCCCTCCAAGGTAATGGGTCGGGCCATGAGCAGCACTAATTAAATTATGCTACTTCAAATTGTCCAAATAGGTTGTAGAATCAGTCTAAACAATTGTGGTGTCGATATTTCACTTCACTCATCGACCGAGGCCTATGAAATATAATCCAAACAAAATCGGTTTAATATCATTGTCCGAAATTTATTGGGTATCAAAACCCAACACTTTATTTTTGAGGGAGCAAATAGTAACAAAAATAAAGGTTATTTAATTTTGAGTGAGAATGCGATAACCAAATGTAAATATTAGTAATTCCTCATTTAATTAGTTTTCAAATTTTAACAGTATCAATTGCCATGTACGATTTTCATCCGTCACGTAAATTTTTTTTGTCACTTGGGCTAACGGAGTTTAGATAGATGGTGAATGTGTAACGTTATGGAAAAGTGAGGAGCAATTGTAATCAAAGGTAAATATATGGCAACACTAAATGGGAGTAATGGGCTCGACCCAAGTCCGTGGTGTAATTTCCGCTAAATGTTTTGGTTGTTACCTAGAAAAACACAAAAGATGCCCTTGTACCTCTCTAATCTGATACCTCTGAAGGATCAAGGATGAAAATTGGTTCGTGGTAATTACACAAAATCTAAAGGCTTGAACGTTGTTACGTGGTATTAGAATGCACGGTTTGCAACAATGAACAAAACATTAACTTCTTTTTTCCCTTTAAATCGACGAGTCGAGCCTGTCAAACATAGTAATGGGATTACTTTCTAGGATTCTTGATGTCATACTTCTTTCATAACCTGAAATACAGCGAGAATGCTTTGTAGTTGATTCGTGTCTATTTGAATGAACTCGATTATCCTATGTTTCTTTGATCTGAACCAAAACTGTATTTATAGTCCAGATTGATCAAAATTTGTATTCTAGAACTACTCATTCCAAGTTATATCCTTATTGTTCTTCGTCTTCCACTAATATTCGCAAAATTAAAAGCAATGGTTTGCAAATACGCGAAATGCTCAACTTTTATTCATTTCATTGATCAAGGCAATGATTATCACAGATCATGCATTACAAGAAAAGTCTGTGTATAACTTCTTCATCCGATTGGTTGAATATCACAATACTGATTAAGCGAAAACGGAGGATCATTATACGAGCCACTAAGAATGGCATATGTCATGAGCTTGTTAGCAGCTTCTGTCAAATGTATGCCATCCCAGCTTACATAATTTTGAGGATCACTGCAGGCAGTGGCTGTAACTGTCTGTCCATTGATCACCTTGCTCGAACCGCAGAAAACTTGAGGGTTGAAATTGTAGTCACCACCTCCTTGTCCACAGCATGCTGTTAATCCATGCTGCATCCCTGCAGAACATTAGGAAATGAGAACATGGTATTGAGGAAATCGTACTGTTGATATATTCTCGAGTGTATGAGGCTATTTCGTAATAGTTTGATTGCGTAATTATTGTAAATTTTCTATTTGGCGTACATTGTGCTACTAAGTTACTTACTTTGCTGATTTTCGAAGCTAACTTTTTAATTAACAAATTCTTAACAGGGTTTATCGGTTGATCTTGAAAGTTTGACCTAATGAGCTTACCATGGGATTTCGGATTCTGGTAAAGATCGAGCAGCGCAGCATTAGTGTTCACATATATCACATTAGCACCAGAAAGATCATTTCTGGTTTGTTGAAGTGCATCTTTCAACATATTGTTGTATTCATTGACTGCATTGTTGTAAGAAATCTTGCATCCAGACGCATCTTGGTCTACACTTCCCCCCTGAGACTGCTCAGCCAAGAATCGCGGATAACAGCCTACTGGAGCAAGATTCAACACTAGAAATGTCCGTCCACCTAACGAGTACAGTTCCTGTTGAATTAAGAAGTGAATAGTGGTTGGTTGCTTGAAAAAAATTGTTGTGCAGTATTGTAATAATAAGACAGCATGAATGTGTTAGTGTTCGTACCTTGATGGTGCTCGTGATTTGAGAAATGACTTGAGGTGCATTCTCTTTCACCCCACCTGGACCGGCTGAACCTAGGTAGCCGGTGATGTCATTTTGGCCAATATTGAGTGTGTAAAGCGCCTTCCCAAATATATCAGATGAAGGAAGATTGCCTTTCCCTGATAATCAAAATAAACCACCGATGTAAATTAAACTGACTGACTTAATGTTGGCATCTCGTCAGTACCATGACTCAAAGTTCATGTTCGGTGTGCAGAATTGGACAAGACTGGACATGTAATGTTATCCAATCCTCCTACCAAACATGTCAAATTTGTTCAGAAACACATTATTACCTCCGGATTCATCGACTTTGGCTTTGAAAAGCTTCATTTGGTTGAGCTGAACACCTAAATAGAAAGGGCTAACTCCATTGACAAACAAAGAAGTAGTTGGCTGGAGGACTGTGGAAGCCAATGTAGCAAAATTGCAACCATTCCTGTAATCCGATCCAATGGATTGTAAATAAGGGCTTATAAATGTCAATCCCAAAGCTTGCGCTGCACACAAAGTGAAAAGTATGTTATGTCAATATCATTAATCAATCAGAAGAGAAGAGGTATTAACACTGAAATTGTGAAATATTCGAAAATTACCGAGAAAATCGATGTACAGCCTCCCGTCTGCGGCTCTACCAGTCGGCCTTTTGAAATAGGTCATGCCATTAGGCGAAGGCTGAGATGGAAAAGCTGCATAGAAGGCACCTGTATCCGAATTTGAGTCCCCGAAATTGAAGATGGCTTGGAAAGCACAATTTGCATCACTCTTAGGCACAATTATCGCCATCGTAACCAACGAAAACACCAAGAATCGCCTCATGATGAAAGAAACGAAACTCAATTTCAAATAATCAGCTGTCTCAAGTACTTATTCTGATATTAATTACAGGAAGCTCATGAAGAAAACTCAATTGCTAGCTTCCCCTTTATATAGTAGTTGAGTAAGCAAATGCATTACGCAAATGGTACACATGGCTAGTCCCATTGCAGATGCGAATTGCGCTGTATCAGTCGAGCAGAAGGCACGTCGATCAATGCAAGACAAGAGAAGGAAACTTCTCAATCACTCATCATTTGTTCAAATCTCTAAAACATTTTATTTTCCTCTTCATTGCATGTCACTCTTCATTGCATGTGACAATGAATCCAAAAAAGAGTGGAAGACAAAGGGAACAGATGTTGAAATTAGTAGACACCATCCAATTCTATGAACTCATCATCTTGTTGGTTTTCAACCACTGTGACATAATAATCCTTTGGCGAAATGAATTTTGATTTCTTGGAAGTAATAGACTAGTTCTTGGAATGGATTATTATGTGCAATGAAAACATTTCAGAGGTTCGCTTATTTACTAGATGCCGTGATAATTCTAGTATCACAGCATGTTACCATTAAATAAATAAATTTGAAAATACATACAGTTTGAGTTATGAAGTAGGCTTAGTTGGGAGTTGGGACGAACATTGATTTGTAGTCGATACGGGTCTTGTAATCCGCCAAATATTTGGCTGTCGTGACTTAGGAAGGGGGAATTCAGGTTTCCTACCGGAGAAAATAGTGTGTAAAACGGTTGAGTCAACGAATATTGGTTTGCATTCTGATTCCACGTAGGCCATGTTTTGGTCGAAAAAATTACTGTTGGGGCCTTGGGAGGTGAATTTGAGGTTTTATGTTCTATAAAAATAGACGTGTGAAGTGAATTGTCAAAACAAAAATTAATTTGTAGTCCAAAAATTAGACGTGTAAAATCGGCTGAGTAAGTGGTGCGGAAGCGTCTATGAAATGTAATAAAAATTGAAAATAAGAATTATATTGGAATAATCTTGTTTTATATTGATATATGATTGATTGATTAAAAAGTGTATAATACCCCTATATTTATATGCCAAATTATCCCTAATCCTATTAATAAAAGGAAATTAAAATA